TGCTGCTGCTGTGCTGCAGCAACCAAACACTGCAACCCTTGCTGCAGCGGTGCTGCTCTGTCTCCATACATTTTCACTATTTGCTGCTCTGCATGCAGCGCAGCAGCAGCAGCAACGCCAAGAGAAAGTGCTGCTGCTGCTGCTGCTTCTGAATCCAGCTGCTTCCATAACGCAACTAGACCTTGCTGCTGCTGCTGCTGTTGCTGCTGCTGTTGCTGCTGCTGCTGCTGATGGGATTGCCGCTGAGAAGAAGCCTCTGCTGCTGGGGCTCCTGCTGCAGCTGATGCTGCTACTGCTGCTGTTGCTGCTGCTGCTGCTGTTGCTGCTGTTGCTGCAGGAAGCCCAAAGAGAAACTCTATACCGCGCAGACAAACAGCAGCAACCGAACGATGTGCTGCGGATACCTCCCGTTGCTGCTGCTGCTGCTGCTGCTGCTGCTGCTGCTGCTGCTCTCTAAAAACAGCAAAGACATGTTCATTCAAGGCAGCAGCAAGTGCTGCTGCTGCTGTCTCGCCGCCGCAGCGCAGCACCGCCAGCAGCAGCAGCGGCAGCAGCTCACGCGCCAGCTCCGGGCTCGTCATCACCAGAGGAGCAGCAACCTCAAATAAACCCAACACCTGCTGCTGCTGCTGCTGCTGCTGCTGCTGCTGCTGCTGCNGCTGCTGCTGCTGCTGCTGCTGCTGCTGCCGTTTTTGCTGCTGCTGCTTAGGCTGGTGCTGCTGCGTCTCCGCGTCCGCCGGGAATGAAGTCGATGACCTCTGCAGCAGCAGCAGCAGCAGCAGCAGCAGCATGCAGCAGAAGCAACCGCGCATGCAGCAGCAGCAACAGCAGCGGCGCTGCTGTTGCAGCAAATGCAGTCGCGTCCAATAGCAGCAAATGCAGCAGCAGCAGCAGTAGCATCAAATGCAGCAGAAGTGCATCAACAGCAGCAGCAGCAGCAACAGCAGCAGCAGCAGCAGCAACAGCAGCAGCAGCAGCAAGAACAACCTAGCAGCAAGCGTGGCT